CGTTTTACAGCAGCGTCAGTATCAGAACACTTCACGTGACCCGAACGTCCTCAACCCTTTTATCAGCCAGACCCGAGAAGAGATGAAAATCAGTCTTTGATGCTGTTCTTCACCCAATTTTTACAGCACCTACGGCACGCTTACTCCTTATACCGTGGTCAGAACAGCACGCTCATGTGCACCACAAGCAAGAAAGTTATCATGATGGAATAGTAAGGCAATCGTTACGCTGCCAGAGTTGTCTTATTGCCACATCTGATTGACGTCTATTGGCAGCACGAAAAGCTCCTTACTCTACATTGATGACTCTGTGACATCGCGACATGTCATTTGGGATTAAATGTGCTTCCTCTAAAGCGTTACTCGAAGGTTAAGGCGCTTCGCAATGGTTAGCATGTTGAAACCTATAATCCTTCCTCTATGTACGACTGGTTGATAGTGACGTTCACGTTAAAGGACGAATTCACGCTGAAAAAGCAACCCATTTCAAATTAAGTTAGGGATGGTGAGTGGTACACGAAAGAAGGAAAAACCATGAGAAACGGCCCAGAACCCGAGAAATGGGACCCCTTCCTTGCCCGTTGATTTGCGCATTGATGCGACTCTCATCGCTGTGCCCTCTTCAACACTACGCTCTCTCTGCTATCTAATCACTCGCCACGTATAGACCTGCGGCGAGTGATCAGATGATCGGTGGGCGTGCACTGGCCCACCGCGCCAAGATTGAGCCTTAATAGGTCGCCGAGGTCAACTCCTTCGGTGCCAATTGCGCTTCAGTCCGCACCCTTAGGAGGTCCGCGGGTCCCTCAACTAGGTGAATTACTCCTTCTTCGACCTTCATTCTAATCGTGAATTCGTCCTTTAAAGGAAGCGATTACGATAAATTGGGAGCGCATCGGGGAAGCATGTGCGCCACACGAAGCAGTTACTTGGCTGCCAAGGAAGCGAGGTGTGGCGCTTTCACGACGAAAGGTGCGCTGGTTGCTGAGCAGGACTTCGAAAGCGCTCCGCCCCGAATGCGCTTCACCTACTAGTATTGACATGGTGCCACCAAACGCGTTGCGATGAACTCGTCCACACGAGCCGCCGTTATAGCCGTTCCCCGTCCATCATCGAAAATCAGCGGCCATTAAGGGGTCCCGTTTTGCATTTTCTTGACGAATTTCACTGTTTTTTGCCACTGCTTACCATTGAGCACACACGTCCCCTTCAAACTCCCCAGGCCTTAGCGTAATAGTTGCTTTTTAATAGATTCCGCAGCAAAAGCTCTACACCTTACTCCTTTGTAATTGCTATTCAAATCATTCTGATAAATAAGACTAATTATCGAAAAATAATGACTGATCTGGCAGGACTAAGGCACTGACTCGCAGTCGTATGTTTAGGCCAAATCAGATTCATATACCACTACGACTCTGAATTGAAGCAAAGTGCGTAGCGCGTGTCTGGAGGGGACTGACTAATGTCCATGTTATCGTTGTCCATCCACGTTATCCGGTATCCTTTCATCTGTTGGCATTATGGCTTATCTTAAAAATACAAAGCGAAGGCGCTAGGTATAGTTGAGTATAAATAGTTGCTGCTTATTCTCCCCTCTCTGATTCAAACGGTGGGACAGCTAGAAGTTTAGCTGCACTTAACCTATATTCAAAAACTTAATTTTTCAAGAAAAGTACAAAAAGGGAGTAAGTAAATAAATCTCTCCCACTCTCTATAGGGTTTGAGCTGTCACAAACACGCTTCTTCGCACTAATTACAATTTCTGAAAATTAGGATTGAAAGATATTACAGCTTGTGTGCACAATAGTTCATTTGAAGGCGGATTTCACGATAAGGATGAAGGTCGATGAAAGGGAATTTACCTAGTGGAAGACAGGCAAACCTTCTATGGGTGACACGCCTTCCTCTCGCATCGTTTCGTGTCTGAGTCTCTGAGCCACTTAGCAGAGAGAGCGTTAGCGTTGAAGAGGGCAGCACCGATGAGAGTCGCATCAATGCGCAAATCAACGGGCAAGGAAGGGTCCCATTTCTCGGTTCTGGCCATTTTTCTCGGTTTTTCTTCTTTCATGTATCACTCACCATCTCCAACTCAATTTCGAATGGGTGGCCTTTTCTCGTAAAATTCGCCACTAAACATACCTGAAAAAAGAAGAGCGCTGACAAAAAGACTATTGTTCATCTGTTGATTGCTATTTTAATGCCACAAAACCGTTGCGCATGATTCACAAGAATGGTGAATTATGGGCAAATTTTTCCCTAACTGAGAATCGAATTCTGCTTTCTAATTTGCCGGGCTCTTGTGTGTTTTTGGGTGCGGTGGGGGAGGGGGGTAATTGGTTTCAACACAGCCTAGAAAATTAGAGGTGCGAGTTCGACCACCGCCTGGGAATGTTTTGCCCATAATTTTGTACTTTTGTGAAAGCATACTACCGTCGAAACCTGTTCCTTCGTTTACGTCGTGGATTGCAAATTAGGTTCTCGTGTACAGTGTGGCAGTGTGGAAGTGACATGTGCGAATTCATTCCAATGATTTTTTCCCTCTTCAAAGAATTATTTAAGCGGCTGGATTTGTCGTCAAGTGCCGTACGGGTGGTGGAAGCCGGAGCCTTCTCTCGCCTTCCGCGACTTCATTCGGTCTTTTTCACCGACTGTCGGGATCTCACATTCATTTCGCCTGCTGCATTTGAGAACATCAGCGTCTTCAGGTAAGTTCAATGTGCGATTTCTTTCCTTAATTGTTCAGAAGTTTTACAGGCAATAAGGCGAGGCCGTCTTGTTGCTAATGCACTTTTTCAAGGAGTGAAATGCTCACTTCGCCCAGGCGGGGATAGTGGCCTACTACCTTAAGGAAACTGCCTGCATGTCAAAAATTTGAGAAAAATGTTCAACTGAGAGATTCCGTCTGTTTAGCCTAGTTTGACCAGTATTGATGTTTCCTGTTTGGGATCGCTGGGTCGCAACTGCTACAAACAGAAGAGTTTAATATGAGCTATCGAATTCGAACTCGTGACATCTACACCCCTGATTTTCGCGTTGCGGTACCGGCCAACCGAGGCGCGGCCGCGAACGCTAGCGATTCGCTCGATTCGCAAAGTCTAACACCATCCGTACAGAATAATCCCTAAAAACGTATCTGAAACCTTCTCAGAATTTTAGGTTCTCAAAATGAGCAACGATTATCATGCAAACTAGTCCACTGGTTAATTGTTCTAGTATTTCAAAATTAGGAATTACAAGAATAGAAATAAAAATAAGCAAATAAAATAAAAAAAACCCTTTTCAGTCTTGACGTTTCTGGTACTGGTCTCAAAACTCTGTCACCCTCTCTACTCTCGAACATAGCTCGGGTGAGTTTTATTAATTTATTTGGAATACACGTAATATGGTTCCGATATCTAATTGGTAGCGAATTGTTCCTCTGCGATTTTTCACGATGATACAATGATCAGAAATCTTTCTGTATTAGTATTACGCCTGAAGAGGAAAGCAGCTAGCTAAATGTTTACTATCGCTGAAGAGCTCATCATTTGGAGATGCTAGATGAAACCACGCCTGCCAGTTTGCAAGCCTTGGGACTGGGTGCCCGACAGGAGGTCCGTCGTGCGGCAAGAAGCAGAGTCAGCGGACAAGTACAGCGCGTACTGTAGTGATTTCGGGGGTCAAAGTCAAATAGATTGAAGCACTACACTTCCTACATCGCACTGCACGCATGCGGACTCGTCCACTGACGACTATGCTTTCTTGCCGCTTGACAAGCCTCCTTCGGGAAGTAAGTACATTAAAAGGAGTTTGCTACAAGGAAGTTTATGCACGCATGAAAGCATTAGTTAGGCGACAAAGAAGAGCTCTGGTGCTCGCTATGAGGGCTTTGCTAATTAAGTGTTATTAGGGTTTAAAATAAAAATCGTTTATTGAGGTTATGCGATGCGATGAAGTGTGAAGTGCATTTCAGTCTAAACGGCCATATCTTCTATGCCAGTCGCCTCTTATATACTACCGTTAGCGCGCACGCGTGGGTGCGCGCACAGGCACAGGTTCTGCGGCGATTATAGGATGGTGTGGCTGAGTGAACATTCGAATTTGGCCAAATACACTTCGATATTTGACTTTCAAGCTCTATCCACCTTTTTTTCCGGCTCACTACGACTTCTCCGGCCCGAATTATGAAGATTTGTAGAAAACGCTGTACACTTCATAGCGCCCTCCGCCCATTGTGGGCGGACCTTCGCCCGCCCATGTATGCTGGGACCTTAGAACATTCTTGGTCCTACACAATTTGTTTTCTGCTCTATAGGCTTTCTCCCAACCGAGTTATGAAATTTTTCATAAAGCACTGCTTTTTTGAGAGAACGCCCGCCCACCGGGGGTCTCCCTAATTCGATGTGACTTACCAATGCACACCTTTACCCACTTTTTGGCCCAGTTTCGAGGTCGTTTTGTCACTGAAATTGAAATCTTGGTCTCAGTACAGTTCATTTCGACGCACGCCCACTGTGGGCGGGGCTCCGCTTAGCTGATGTGTGTTTTGTACTTCGTGAGACCTTGCCCACCCATCCCACACTTGACCCGGTCCCTCCAGGCGGATCCCGAGGAGCTAGGGAATTTCGTGACAGACATACAGAACGACAGACAGACGACAGACGAAGCGCTTTATAGTAAGTAGGATCCTCACCCAAATGGCCTGTATTTCTTCCTCGATTTTTCATGAATTCCTCCTTTTTGTCGCACTATTTGGACCAATTCCTCCGCATTCGATAAACATTTATTACACTCACTGTACTTGAAACTAGTAGCAGTGACACATTCTCTAATGGAACTGATTTCCTGATAGGTCGAACATAGAGATGAGAACATGTTCGTGGCTTGCTTGCGCAGTTCTCTAATTTTTTCCTATATCATAATCACCTCCATATTTATCAAACGAAGCTGGTGTCAGAGTCCGCGATCCGTCTCGCGGTAGATCACAGAAATCACAAGTGCCCGATCAATACTGCAGGTGCTCTCCAATCCCGCCGCCATTTCTGCTTGATGGTGATGGTTGAATGACGACTGTTCATGATTCTACTTGTTTCATATTCAGTGTTTCAAATGTTCAAATGGGCACTTGCGATTTTTGCGATTCGCGCGAATCGCACGACGGATCGCGGACTCTGACGCCAACCTGTGGCGCATAAGCAGAGTATTTGATTGCTCTGAATATTTTGAAGGTTCGCATCGCTGATGTTCCACTGGACTGCGGTTGTCTATCAGAACAATTGAGTGCCATCACCACCACTACGATAACGGACTGGGGTAATGCCACTTGTGTCACTAGGGAAGGAGAAGTGCTGAGGTTTGACGGTGTTTCCATGAAAATTTTTAGTCATACTAGTCTGACAACTTTTCACAACATTAAGTGTTACAAGAAACAAAAGAAATACTCCAGTTTTGATTAGTGGAGAATTTTGTATTAATATTACAGCATTTCCACCCTGTCACCAACAAGTTTGAGTAGCGCTGAGCAATGCCGGCCCAGTGTGATACTTCCATTTGGTCACGAGGTTGTAGCGAACGTTGGCCAAACATTCAAAATTTATTGCGCCGGTAAGTCATAATTTCACAATCAAATATGACCATTTTATTCGAAGAGGTTCATTTTCCCTCTCCATTTGCAGGAACAGAGGAGGAGGACATTGTTAAATGGAAGTCACCGGCCGGTGTCACGGAGTATGCCATCAGACCAGAGGTAGCTATCGCATTTTTTATTGGTACGAAGGCTAAACTGCTGTTGTCAGAGCGGTGCAACTAGGTGTAAAAAGAAAAGAACTTCAATGGTTTAGTGTAAATAATGGGGATGCGCCAACAATGGGTCCCTCCTTCTTTCTGTGTCAATGTTCGCTGCTATGACTCTCACTCAAATTCTGTTCACAATGGCTGGAGGGCGGTGTAGTTTCAGTGACGTCCTTGAACGCCATCGGTGAACTAGAGCCCTTAGGCCGATGTCAGACTTTGCGAATCGCGCGATTCGCTAGCGTCTGCGGTCGCGTCGCGGCCAGTGAATCACTCAATTGGCTGGTACGATTGCGCGATTCGCGAAGTCTGACATCGGAGGATAGGGGGTCAATAGCGCCTCTTGATGCACCTCCCTATTGCGTAAATGACATTACTCGATCGCCAGCCCTCCAGCCATCATGGTCAGTGTATTAATTTGCTTACTTCAAAGACTCGGACATGCTAAATAGGGATTTCGCCCTGATTCGTTCGAAGGCATGAAAAGGTCCGAATGTTATTGGGGTTCCTTAGGGTCTCAATGTTGATTGTACAAAATCGCATCTAATCGCCCAAGCTGGAGCTCCTAACATTTTTTCAGTTCGACCTCCATCGTACTAGACGAAGAGTTTTCTATTCTCCATTCCAGCAAAATTTTCATGAAGCACAGGCACTTTGATGTTGTTTAATTCTTGGCAACATTAATGCTAACACCTCGCGATAAAGTTTGTGTGCAAGAGAGCTCAATGATTAAGGCGAAGGTGTGGAGTGGACTAAAAGTGAAAAAGAAAGCCAAAAAAGCACCAAATCTGCGAGTTTCTACTTTCCATAAGGTCGGGCGATTCACGAAGGGACAAAGCATGCAGAGAATCTGTATACGGGGTAAGAGGGTATCACTCATGACCACTGATGGGGAGCATTAAGGCCCTAGAAACCTCGTCGCTCACCTTCCAGCCGTTTGTATGGAGCATCTACGCAGACGCTCTATCCCACTCACAAACGGATTAATCCAGTGGTTCAATTCCTGGACGTGCTTTTAAGTCATTAATTCTACCACACTCGAAGGTGAGATGCGGTTGAACGTTAAACGCCGCCTAGAAAAGTATTACTATTAGAATAACAGACGCGAACCAACAGAATCGTTAGGGCTTTACGTTAACTTCATGAAACCACCTGCGCGGTGACGAGTTGAAGTTTGGGTTTGAAGACCGATCGATGAACGAAAATCCCCATGATTCGGAAATCTTTGCTATAACATTTTATTGCTAGAGTGATCTTAATTTTTAGCATGAACATGCTATAGAAACATCTGTTTTATTCAGATAATGACCAAGAAAACCCTTGGTGAAACTTGAAACCCCGACTTGGGCGACTAGCCTCACTTCAAGTCCTTTAAAAGGTACAGAAAAAGAATTGTGTACACTTCAGTTTTCATCTGGATTCGAGCGCCTTGACTACTTTACTACGACGCTTTTCGAGCCATTGAAGCGCCAGCGCTTGCGGAAGAGGACGCTAGCCACAACAGAATTCTTCAGGTAATGAAGTCAGCCGAAGTGGTCAAAACAGACCGACAAATCTTCAATTCGAATTTCCTGATTCCATTGCAGGATTGACGTCGTGCTAAACTCGGATGCTGGTGAATACGAGTGCACTATTCAGAGGGGAAAATACACCTTTACAAGGAAGATTCGTCTCATTGTTGAAGTTCCTGATATAAAATTGAAAGTGACCCACGTGAGTTAATTGGACTCTATTGGATTCAAAATAGCAATCGCCTTTACGTGTATTTGTTAGAAGACCCCTCTAGATCTACTCATAAGTAAAAACTGGTATTCACCTAGAATGACTCTCAGGGAATGTGGTAGCCCTTTGCATAAAAAGGACTTTCTTCCGTTGGAGCTGAAACCCTAAAGTAGACCTAAAACCTTGAAGTTGATCTTGCCAAGACGCCGCGCAATCTATTCACTTCAGAATACCAGTAATATTTGAACGTGCAATCATAGAGTGACCTATGATTGAGAGCCGTACGTGTCGCCATTTCTGCCCATTCATATGAGAAAAACTGGAAAGTTCTACTGTTCTGAGTGCAATACGATCCTCAAATATAGAATTCGTTTAGGTAATTCAAGCTTATAGTCCTTCTCCTCTACTTGCTAGAAG